TATTTTCTCTTATTTTATTTATTTATTTATTTATTTATTTATTTATTTATTTATTTATTTATTTATTTATTGTGTGTGAGCAGGTACACACGCTATGGCATACGTGTGGAGACAACTTTCAGAATCAATATTTTTTTTCCATCTTTACTTGGGATCTGGGGATCAAACTCAAAACCCCAGGCTTGTGCTGCAAGCTCCTTTACCTACCAAGCCATCTTGTCTGCTCAATTTTCCCATTATTAACACCTTACATTGGCGTGAGACATTTGTTGCAATATATGAACTACATTAATACATTATTTATAACGAAAGCTGGAGCTGACATCAGTGTTCACTCTGTGTGTGCAACTCCATGGGTTTGATACATGCATAATGTCATATGCCCATCATTACATCATCATTCAGAACAACTTTGCCATTCTAAAAATCTCTCAGGCTCTGTTTTTTCATTGTTTTTTTTCTCTCCAAACTTCTGGCAACCATTGTTCTTTTTCCTGTCTGTATAGTTTGCCTTTTCTAGAGCATCAGAGAGTTGGAATCAAATAGTATCAACCTTTCTTATACTTTATTTTTCTCATTTAATAAAATGCACTTAAATTCCTCCTTGTTTTTTGTGGCTCAAGAGCTCATTTCTGTCTTTCTAAAAAATCTATTTGGGGGCTGGCAAGATGGCTCAGCAGTTAAGAGCACTGGCTGCTCTTGCAGAAAACCCAGGTTCATTTCCCACCATCTAATGGTGGCTAACAACCATCCATAACTCCAGTTCCCTGGGACCCAATGCCCTCTTCTGACCTCCTCAGGCATTGCATGACACAAGTACACTTACATACATATAGGCAATACACTCATACACATTAAAATAAAAAGTAAATTTTTAAAAATCTATTTCGTTTTTATTTATGTGTATGTGTATATGCATACTCATGTATGTGGGGGTGGTCTTGGAGGCCAGAAGATAATGTCAAATCCTCTAGAAGTTACAGGTGGTTGTGAGTCTTCTGATGTGGGTGCTGGGAACCAAACCCAGGTCCTCTGCAAGAGCAGCCAGTGCTCTTCAGGGCTGAGTCCTCTCTCCAGCCCCCTGTGTATAGGATTTTGAGTGCGCATAAAATCTGAACTCACTGGACTAAACATCTAGGGGTGGAGCTGCTGGAATGTAAGATAGGCCTTTGTTTGACCTTTCAAATTGGCGGTGTCTTTTTACATTCCCCACCAGCAGTGAGTTAAGAATCCCTATCAGTAGCATTTGTGATTCTTGGAAGTTTTGTCAATCTAATAGGGGTAGACGGCTATTTTGTTTGTTGTTTGTTTTTGGTTTGCGTGTGTGTGCAACTACACACACACACACACACACACACACACACATACACACACACGCCAGCATGCACATGGAAGGCAGACAAAAATGTTGGTGTCCTGCTCTATCACTCTACCTCATACATTTTTAGACAGGGCCTCTCAGTAAACCTGGAGCCAGGCTGGCAGCCAGAAAACCCCAGTGATAACTTCTGTTCCTGCCCCAACAGAGCTGGGGTTATGTTGTACAGGGTGGGAGGGAGGGAGGGAGGTCGGGGGAGGAAAAGTGATTCATGACACAAAGGAGAGTCATGATCCCCCAGCTCAGAGAGGCCCTTTGTTGACATTCAGGCCAAATGACAGCAGCTGCTCACTGGCCCCACCCTGCTCTAGGACCTCCACCTGGAGTCCCCGCAGTGACTGTGACCATGAATTTACTGGGGTGTTGGGTTCCACAGAGTGTTTCAGGGCCTCAGCTGCTGCCAAGGTTGGGAGCCCTCAGCTTTTCCTCTAATCCAAGGAGGGATGGAGAGAGAATGGGGCTGAACCAGGAGCTCACTGCAGAGCAGAGGAATAAGGGAAGGAGTGCACCCCAGGGACTGAGCCTCAGGGCTTCGAGGACACAGAGATCAGATGGGACAGAAGCCTCCATCCTCCACTGCAACTACAGGCTGCTGGGGTCCCTCTCCTGCAGTGAGAGCTGGAGCTGTGTTATTGCCCCTCTTAGACCAGAGCCAGCTCTGCACATCGATCACCGTGCACTCTGTCTCTCTCTGCCAGGCAGCTCCTCCAGGGTCTCCTCTGTGCTGCCCAGCCCAGGGACAGCAACCCTGACCTGGGATGACCCAGGGCTTTGTGTCAAGACATCCTTCAGTTGGCATGGGAAGAAGAGGAGGATAGTTATCAGGGACCGTACTGAGTGGTTGAGTTTTACTTCTTTGTCCTGGTGTTTGGCTTTTGTGAGTCACTCCTCCACCCAGGACAAAGCCCACTCATTCACCAAGGTCAGGGTCACAAGGCCCGTGGGACTCAGCCCTTCCATCCCAGCCAGCAGGGACTCTGCACCCTCACCCACGGTGAAGTCCAAGACCTCCTTACTGCTAACCACCTCCATGTCATGCTGAAGGTTTGAGATGCTGAGGGGAGATGCTGATGTTATGGGATGAAGGGTGAACTGGGAAGGTGCTGAGTGGGTAGCAGGGAGATTTTTCTCTGGGGTGGCTCTGACCTAGTTCCCATTTGCTCTATGTGACCTTCAGTGTCTCAGGGCTGGCTGAACAGACACGGTCCATGGGACTGGGAGATGTCAGTCATTCCTTCCTTCACTCACTCACAGTAATTTGTTTCAAGCAGGGGCTCACAATGGCAGGGGAGAGGTGGCCCAGGCACTCGTTGTTCACAGAGTGCCGGGGCTCAGGGAGGAAGGAAGCTGGCTGATCTAGAGGGAGGGTACCTGTGCATGGAGCTGCACTGGGCTGCACCGATAGTGTGTGACATTATCAGGTGAAAATGGGCTAAATATATTTGGGAAGCTCTGGATTAAATAGTATAAAATAGAGCTTTTTTTCTGCAGGACTTGTCAGAGCCTTTAACCTGACAATATACAAGGTGAGCCTCATGGCAGGCCATCCTGCCTAAGGAATGTAGAGAACAGGTAAGGTTAGAAAGAATGCCAGAGGTTGTAGATGCCAAATCAAAAAGGCTAGACCTCTTCCTGGGGGTCAGAGAAGAGACACAGAAGACTTGGAGGGCCACGCAGGCAGCTCTGGCGTCCAGGTTTGGGCCTTGGGCATAGAAGCCAAGCTTGCTCAGGCTCCAGTCCCGCCCCAGGCATCCACCGCAGTGGCCTCTGATCCTAGGCCTCTAAAACCTCAGAGATTTTGCTGTTTTCAAATAGACTTTATTTTCAGAGTGTTTTAGGCTTACAGAAGGTACAGAGCTTCCACCCACCCCAGAATCCTGGTACTACTATCTTTTGTAAAGTACAATGGCTACACATGGTGGTCTGACACTGGGACATTATAACTAAAGTCCATCATTCACTTTCGAGTTCTCCTTGTATGGCACAGAGTCTAACAAACTGCTCAGTGTCACCATTAGTGTTACTAGGGGAGTTTTAGTGACCTACAAGCAATCCACCTGAGCCTAAGGGAATGTGGAGCCACACTGGGAATTTCTGGATTAAACAGGATAGAACAGAGCTTTCTGCAGGACTTGTCAAAGACTTTAACCTGTGAATATACAGGGTCAGCCTCATGGTGAATCCCAGGACTCATGAACCAGGCCACCCTGGCAAAAGAAATATGGAAAACAGTGGGGTTCTGATGTGCCCTCCTGATACTCTCAGGGGGACTGAAATCAGGCCCTTTCCCCAGTTTCTCCACAATTAGCCCCTGGGCTGGGGTCTGAGGGGTCTTTGTGCTCAGACCTGAATCAGATTCCCCAGTGTAGGACCTGGAAATCTGCATTTTTAGCAAGTTCCCCTGGTATATATGTCAGGATGTCAGAGACCCAAGGCAGCAACCTCAGGCCAGGCTCCCCTCAACCCCCACCCCTGCCGACCCTCCCACTGCCCTGCATATGTCAATTTGCTCTACCAATGCAAAGAGAAGAATCAAGTTGTCCCTGGCAGCCTGGAACTCTCCGAGATGTGTCTTCCCAATTTGATATGATGGGGTGGGGGAAGGAACAGATGTTTGCATCCAGGAAAGAAAAAGGCCATGTCTACCTTCAACAGTGCCTGGTCCCCATTCTGCACTGTCACATGTTTCAGTTGCTTATCAGGAACCCAAATTCCAGGCCAGCCAAAACCCACCACCACCTGTAGCTCTGAATCTCCTGGAGCTCAGCCAATAACACACTAGGCTCCGTAACAAAGCTGAAATCATAGTGCAGGGACGGGGAGGGGCCTTCTTTGCAGCAGTCTGTGGTGGGTTGACCAGGGTTTGCATAGTTTCACAGCCCCCTAGAGCCTCAGAATGTGACTTTATTTGGAAAGCCTTTGCAGACTTAAGCATCAAGATGACATCACACTGCATGAACCCTAAATCCAATGGCTTTTGCCTTTTCTGTTTTGTTTTTTGACACAGGGTCTTAACTATGTAGCCCAGGCTGACCTGAAACTTGAGATCCTCCTGCCTCAGCCTCCCAAATGCTGCGATTACAGGGATGGTGTTTGTATAATCTGAGAGAACAGACACACACAGGGGAGAGGAGGAGGCCAAGTGCAGAGGGTAGGGTGTTGCCATCATAGCCGAGGACAGCCAACAACAGACCTCAGCACTTGGGAGGCTGAGGGAGGAGGAATGCCTGAGCTACAGAGTGAACTGCTGCAAAAAGAAAGAAAAAAAAGGATGAAGGAAACACCAAGGATAGCTTAGAGCTAGCAGAGCTAAACAGAGTAAGGGAAAGATTCCTCTCTTGGGCTTCTGGGAGAGCACAGGCCCACAGCACCCTGACTCCTTGAAGAGGGAGTGCCTTTCTGTTGTTTTACACCTCTAGTCTTGGGTTCTGTGCTCTAGCAACCCTAGGTGCAGACCCACCATCACCATTGTGGACCTGGGTCAGGCTGGTGCATCCTCAGTCCACTCCCTCCAGGAAGGAAAGGACCCCACAGCCGGGTGATTCCTCACACAGGCATTTTAATACAGCCAGCTGTGATTACAGCTATTTCCTCCCAGCCAGCATTGGAATTCTGCTCCCACAGCCCTGATCTTTATCAGAAGACACTTCTCTCTGCTCCAGATGCTGCATTTCCAGAAGCCCTGAGATGCAAGTAGTGACAGATATTGGTCCAGGGGCAGAATATGGCCAGGTGGCAGTCCCTAGGCGCAACCACGGGTCGGGCTGGACAGTCAAGGTAGCTTCATGCCACACCGTCGCCGAGAGTCCTTCCGGGCGATGGGACTGAAGCTCATGATCTCTTTGTAGATGTGCTCTGCGGAAAGTGAGTACTTTAGGGCGGGCTAGAGAGAACACAGAGCGGGAAACGACTCAAGGAAAAAACCCACAGGAAGTGGAATGCACTTGGGCACAGATGCACCAGCTGAGGCTGGGCAGGGGCTGGCACAGGGCAGCAGCAGATGGAGGGAGGAGAGAGGAGGGGAGAGGGAGGAGGAAGGAGGGGGAGAAGGGAGTACCCAGATCAGCTCTTACGCTTCCATTCATCCACAGTGAGTTTCTCGTGTTCCAGAGCATCATCGAATGGCTGCTGGGCCTCGGTCTCCTCCTCAGGGTCTCGGAAGGGTTCAAAGAAGGGGTGGGCGAGTGCTTGCGTGGCTGTCAGGCGCTTGTCCACATCCAGCTCCAACATCTTATCCAGGAGGTCAGCAGCTGCAGGAGCATGACTGTCAGTCTGGAAGAACTAGCTGCTGGGGTGGGCTAGGGGGACTCTGAGGCACGGGACTCACCCTGGGGACTGGCCCTTGGGAAGAGCTGAGTGAAATCCTTCTTGGGGCTCTGGGGCAGGGACTGGATGTAGGATTTGGCCTGGAAGACAGAAAAGCATGGAACCCTTCAGGCTCTGGCTTGGGGTCCATGGTGGGATGAGGGCAAGAGGGTTTGCCAGGGCAGAGGGATCCTATAGGAAAGTGCGGCACCTACCGCCTTGTCGTTGAGTTTCTGCACAAACTCTGTGCCAGGCACCCCAGTCACCTTCAGAATCTGGGTCAGCTGGTCCAGGTCTTGACCACCAGTTAAGGCACAGCTCTGCTCTCTGCAGTGCTGAGCCTCCCCTCCCCACACCCACTGTTGCTCTAACAGGCTTTGCGGCAATGCCTGGCTCCACCCCATAGCTTGTTCATGACATGCTGTTGGTGACACAGTTGGCACAGATTTCTGGAGGGATCCCAACATCCCACATTTGGAGCTGGCTGCCCAGGGTGTGCCTTTCTCAGTACTCACCTGCCCACCAGATCATCCTCCCCTGTTCCCTCTTCTCCTGAGCTGAGTGGGATAACCCTTTGTCTAACCACCAAACCCCTTTATAGCCCACCAGAGTGCCCCCTCAGCATATGAGGGGTTTTCTAATGGCAGTGAAGTCAGGAAAACCTTTCTATCATTATTACTATTATTATTTTTTTTTTTTTTGGTCTTTTTGAGACAGGGTTTCCCTGTAGCCCCAGCTGGCCTGGAACTCACTATGTAGACCAGGATGGCCTTGAACTCACAGAGATCCACTTGCCTCTGCCTCCCAAGTGCTAGGATTAAAGGCGTGCACCACCATGCCATTATTATTATTATTATTATTATTATTATTATTATTATTTGGGAGGGGGTCTTTTTGAGATCTCCCTGTAGACCCAGCTGGCCTGGAACTTGCTATGTAGACTAGACTGACCTCAATCTCACAGAGATCTGCCTACCTCTGGCTCCCAAGTGCACCACCACATCTGGTTCTTATTATCTGTATTTTAAAACCATTCTAGCCGGGCGTGGTGGCACACACCTGTAGTCCCAGCACTTGGGAGGCAGAGGTAGGCGGATCTCTGTGAATTCAAGGCCAGCCTGGTCTACATAGTGAGTTCCAGGACAGCTGGGGCTACAGGGAGACCCTGCTTCAAAAAGACAAAAACAAACAAACAAAAAAAAAACCCAACCATTCTAGAGGCCAGGGCTCAGCTGGTAGAGTGTTTGTGTAGCATGCATGGAAGCTGTGGGTTCCATCCCCAGCAGTGTACAAATCAGGGGTGGTGACACACACCCGTACTCTCAGCACTTGGAGCTGGCAGCAGGACTCCAAGGTCATCCTTGCCTATGCTCGGGACACATGAGACCCTGTTTTAAAATAAAAAAAATGATGGCGCTGGGGAGATAGTGTAATGGTTAAGAGCATTTCTGCTCTTCCAGAGAACTGAAGGTTCAGTTCCCAGTACCCACAGTCACAACCATCTGTAACTCCAGCTGCAGGGGATCTGGCTCCCTCTTCTGGCCTTCCCAGGCACTGCACATACATAGTGCCCTTACACATACATACATGCAGGCAAGGCACTTAAACACACAAAATAGGTGGATGTGGTGGCGCACGCCTTTAGTCCCAGCACTCGGGAGGCAGAGGCAGGTGGGTCTCTGTGAGTTCGAGGCCAGTCTGGTCTACATAGTGAGTTCCAGGACAGCTGGCTACTGAGAGACCTGTCTCAAAAAGACCAAAAAACAAAAAATTCTTTTTTAAATAAAAAATAAAACAAGCCAGGAATGGTGGTGTACACCTTTAATCCCAACACTTGGGTAGGCAGAGGCAGGTGGATATATGTGACTTGGGACCAGCCTAGACTACATAGTGAGTTCCAGATCCAGCCAGCACTACACCATGAGACCCTGTCTCAATTAATTACTTAATTATTAATTAACCTCAAGGAGCCTGTTCCAATGACACACTGAAAAAGTTGTTTAACTGTAGCATTATTGAGAGAATGGGTCCCTGGATGGACACAACATCTGCTTCCAGCAAAGGATACAATCCTTTCCCTTGAATAGAGTCTTTCCCGTAAGCATCTCTGCCATGATGCAGCCGACAGACCAGATGTCCACTGCAAGGGAGGAGGGATGTCACCAGGACTGCCTGACTGCACCCTGCACACAGTCATACTGCCCACGCTCTGAGCAGGTCATCCGGGCCCCATCCTGGGAAGCTGAGCACTGACCAGTCTGGTTGTAATGCATCCAGCTGAGAATAACTTCAGGAGCACGGTACCAGCGGGTTACCACATAGCCAGTCATCTCCGCATCCGCATGGCGTGCCAGCCCAAAATCCAGGATCTATGGCTCGAGGGACACAGAGAGAAGGAGCGGGCTGAGGAGAGGGGCTCTGCAGGAGAGGACTGACCCCACCCTCCCACACCTCTCCACACACCTCCACACCCATGCCCTGCTCTGGGTGAGGTCTGTGACCCTCTCACCTTCAGTTCACAGTCCTCATTCACTGCCAGGTTGCCTGGCTTCAGGTCCTGAGAGGGAGGACAGAGACAGAGAGAGAGCACCAGGCTGAGGTAGAGGGGCAACTGGTTCAGCATCTGGCACCACTCAGCACTGTGACCACAGCCAGGCCACTTCCCCCCAGGGCCTCAGTTTCCTCATGTGTAAAATGAGTTTGGATTCTACATCCTCTAAGACCCCCCATCCAGTTCCACAGTGTTCCTGTCTTTAAGCCTTAAGTGTCAATTCAGGGCTCACTGAGTAGCAGCTCCCCAGAATGTTCCCCAAAGCATAGTCATTCTTCCATCCAGGTCTTCCCCGGCCAAAGCTGAAACCCCCACAGCCCATGTTCCCTCTGCGTCCAGCTCCTTAGCTTCCAGAGTACCCATTCCCTCTATCCCCACCATGGGGGTGGATCAGGGAACCCTGAAGACCTCAGCAAAGAAAGCACTTACCCTGTGGACAACGCCAGCTGAGTGGATGTACTGAGAGGGAGAGGACAGAAGGGTCAATCAGTGCTCCGCTTCCACACCAGCATCAAACCCTCCTCCACCCCACCACAGTGTGCTGGGTCTCAACACCAAGCAGCCCTGGGCCACCACCCAGGTCCCACCTACCTTTAGACCTTTGAGCATCTGGTATACCAGGTACTGGACCTTATCCTCACTGAACTCCATCCCCATGATCTTCTGAAGATCTGTCTGCATGAAGGGCATCACCAGGTAGCTGGAAGGCATGAGGCTTTTGAACAGGGTCCTCAGCCCCACCCAGGCCCAGGTGCGAGCTCAGAGGGGAAGGGGAGGTAGTAGGATGGAACAGGAGATAACACCAGGCAAGAAGATGTAAGAAAAAAGCTAGCTGTGGAAGCTCACACCTGTAACCCCGACAACACTTGGAGAGCCGAGGGAGGAGGACTGCCTAGAGTTCAAGGCCAGCCTGAGTCACATGGTAAGTTCCAAGCCAGGCTATGGTGCATAGTGAATTTCAGGCCAGGCTGGGCTACACAGTAAAACCCTGTTTTAAAAACAGAAAACAATGGGCTGGAGAGATGGCTCAGTGGTCAAGAGCACTGGCTGCTCTTGTGGAGGATGAGTTCAGTTCCTAACATCCACATGGTGGCTAACAGCCATCTGTAACTCTAGTTCAAGAGGATCCAACTCACCTCTTCTGGTCTCCATGGAATTATATGACATGGGTGCACTTACACACATGCAGTCAACCTAGCCTAACTGGCAAGCTCCAAGGCCAATGGGAAACCCTGCCTCAAAAACAAGGTGTGGGAGCTGGGCATGGTGGTGCACACCTTTGATCTATGCAATAGGGAGGTAGAGGCAGGCAGATAGATCTCTGTGAGATTGAGGCTAGCCTGGTCAAGTTCTAGGCCAGCTGGGGTAACAGGGAGACCCTATTGCAAGGAAAAGAAAAAACACCTCAAAACAACAACAAAACACACAAGGTGTAAGGCTGAAGAGATAGCTCAGTAGTTAAGAGAACTTATTGCTCTTGCAAAGGACCTAGGTTCCGTTCCCAACACCCATGTCAGGCAGCTCACAACCACCTGTTACTCCAGTTCCAGGGGAATCCAATGCCTTCTTCTGGCCTCTAAGGGCACCTGCATGCATGTGGTGTACATAATTCATGTAGGCACACACACATACACATAATTTTTAAAATATTTTATTTATTATTTTATTTTATATGTATGAGTGTTATGCCTGTATGTAGGTAAGTACACCCATGTCATGCAATGCCTGAGGAGGACAGAAGAGGCTGTCGGATCCCCTGGAACTGGAGTTATGGACAGTTGTTAGCTGCCATGTGGGTGCTGGGATTCAAACCCAGGTCTTCTGCAAGAGCAATCAGTGTTCTTAACCACTGAGTCATCTCTCCAGCCCCCACACATACAAATTTTTTTTAAAAGGTAGGTGGTACCTGAGGACTGATAAGTGAGGTTGACCTCTGACCTGCACATGCACACAAGTGAATGCAAGCACACCTGCACACAAATACACAATCACACACATACACATACAAAACAAACAAAAGAAGGTATAAAGATCCAGCCCTATCCACCCAGGTGCTCCTGCCTCCAAGGGCTCCCTGCCACACAGCCTGGTTGGCAGAGCTCAGAGTGAGCACAGATGGGCACTAGAGGGTGCTCAGGAAAACCAAATGGCTCTGTGTTCACCCTCTTCAAAGGTGCCCTCTCTCCTTGCCCTTCTCCACGCCCACAGCAACCCACAGCTGTGATCTAGAAGCATCTGTCTTTCCTTTCCATCTAGTTCTATCCAAATGTTCCCCCCACCCAGAGGGTCACACCCAGCTGAGCCAGCTCTGCTAATCACAAAATGTCTGCCCTTCCTGGAAGGAAACAGGAAAACAATCTTCAGAGGGGCAGAAGAAGGTACCTGTGCTGTTACGTACTCAAATGAGATTGCAAAACCATGTCAAGGTCAGTAACATGTAACTGTGACTCAAGGTAGTAATGGCAAAGTTTAGAACAAAATATAATAGATTATAAAAAGAGGGGCTGGAGAGATGGCTCATTGGTTAAGAGCACTGGCAGTTCTTACAGAGGACCTGGGTTTGGTTCCCAGCACTTACATGGTGGCTAACAGGTAACTCCAGTTCCAGAGGATCTGACACTTTCTGCTGCCCACTGTGAGCATTGCATGCATGGGTGCACTTACATACATACAGGCAAAACGCTCATACACATAAACTAAAAATAAACAAATTTGGGACTGGGGAGATGGTTCAGCTGTTAAGAGCACTGGCTGCTCTTGCAGACGACCCAGGTTCAGTTCCCAGCACCCACATGGCGGCTAACAACCATTTGTAACTCCAGTTCCAGGGAAATCCGTCACCTTCTTCTGACCTTCATGGGCATTGCGTGGCACAGATGCACTTACACACATGCAGGTAATACATTCATACACACAAAATAAAAATAATAAATAAAATTAATTAATTAATCTCATGTTCTCATGTATCCCAAGCTGGCTTCTGACTCACTATACAGCTGAGGATGACCTTGAACTTCTGATCCACCTGCCTTCACTTCCCAGGGCTGAAGTGACAGGCATGCCCCACAACCCCCTGTTTATGCAGTGCTAGGAACAGAACCCAGAACTTCATGCACGCTAGACAAACACTCTACCAACTGAGCAACAACCAACATCCCCAGCCCCTAAAAGGAATATTTTTGAAAAAAGGGTATGGTGGAAACCATCCCTACATCCCTACAAGCTTCTGAGGTCATGAAACTGCCTTCTCCACTGGTACCCCTCCTTCCCCAGGACCCCACTCCGTGTGCAACCCTCTCCTGTGTCTTTCTCCTCCTCCTGCACCCTGATCCTTTCTTCTGGTTCACAAACTTACAGTCACTGTGCCTTGATTGTGCTTTGTTGTGGTGGTGGGGGGGCACAAAATCTCACTACTCAGGTCAGACTGGCCTAAAACTCGATCCTCTTGCTTCAACCACCTAAGTGCTGGGATTACAGGTATGCACAATTTTTACCCAGAACTTTACTGCCTCTTTCTTTTTAATTTTTAAAAATGCTTTCGTGTATGAGTGTTTTGCCTGCTTGTATATAAGTGCACCCATGTTACACTATTGCTCGGGGCTGGAAAGATGGCTCAGTGGTTAAGAGCACATACTGTTCTTGCAGAGACCCAAGTTCTGTTCCTAGCAACCATATCTGGCAACTCACAACTGCAGGTAACTCCAGCTCCAGAGGAATCTGATGGCCTCTTCTGGCCTCTGTGGGCACTGCACCCACATGCACATACTCCCACACAGATACTGAATAGACTGCCTCGTCCAGACATGAGCCAACAAAACCTGACAGATTGCAACTAAATATTCTGGTTGTTTGTGACTGCCAAACTCCATCAGTGAGGGCTACTGGATCCTCACTTCCTGCTGGGAAAAGGCCTGAGTAGCCTGAGATCCAGATACACACAGAGGACACACACATACACACACACACACACACACACACACACACACACAATTTAAAAAATAATATAAATCTTTAAGCTATTGTTGCCACTCCTTCATCACCAAACTTTACCTCACTCACGTCCTCCACCACCTTCACACACCGTCACTCCCAACCTGGTTTCTGCCTCTGTCCTACAGCTGAACTCCTGGACTGAACACCAATGACGACCCCACAAATACACTAACTCCCTTTTTCCTGTTTATCCTAAGTCTGGAACCCCTTCACAATTGTCTGCTGGCCCTCCTCTCCCTCTTGGTTTCTATCTGCTCACTCTTCAAACCTTCTTACTAATGTAGAGTTTAGATCAACATTACTGTATTGCATTTTACCATGATCTGTTCCCAGGCTTCCGCTATCATACATGGGAGATGGTCTAGCCCTAGTCCACATCCTGACACTGCCTTCTCTCCTGAGCTTTTTTTTTTTTTTTAAGCTCTGTATAAGTCAAGGATAAAAGTGGAGTTCATTTATCTTTCCCTCAAGGTCTGTTCTTCCTCCATGGATTCCAAACAGGAACCCCAGGCCACCTATGCTAACCTCACTCAGCCACTGAGTCCAAATGGATGCAAGAGAGCCTGTCTGTCAGTCCTGCCTTGAAAATGGGTTTCAGGTCTGTCTTCCATTTCTTACACTGTATTGTAGATCCAAGTCTGGGTCTTGAATACTTGTCACTTCCTCCCCCAAAGGTGCTCCCTACTCCTTTCTCATAAGTGCTGGGTGCATCCCCCAAATCTGACCCAAAGACAGCATCATCATTACACTGCTTAAACCTCCATGGCCAGTGGGCTCTGGATGTGGGTGGCAGAGTACTTGCCTAGCATTCACCAAGACTTGGGTTCAATTCCCAACACTGCATCACATGCCTGTAATCCCAGTACTCAGGAGGTAGAGACAAGAGAATCAGAAGTTCAAAGTCGTGGCTGGAGAGATGACTCCGTTGTTAAGAGCACTGGCTGCTCTTGCAGAGGACCCAAGTTTGGTTCCCAGCACCCACCAGGCAAATAACAACCATCTGTAACTCCAGTTCCAGGGGATCTGATGCCCTCTTCTGGTCTTTGCAGGCACTGTATACATACACACACACACACATATATATATATATATATATATATATATATATATATATATATATATATATATATATATATATATATATATATAATATATAAACATATATACGTAGTGCATATATATATATGGATGCACACACACACACACACATATATATATATATATATGCAGGTAAAACACTCATACACATAAAATTTTAAGAAGTTCAAGGTCATCCTTGGCTATATAGTGAGTCTGTGATACTTGATACCCTGTCTAAACACCACACAACACAACAAAATAAAACACATCCACCACCTCTATGGAACTGAGGTGGGACTGGAAGTTTGACCTAAGCAGTCGTCGATCCCTATTCACACCCTGAATTTCTCTGTAATCTGAATAGACTGCCTTGTCCAGACATGCGCCAGCAAAACCTGACATATTGCAACTAAATATTCTGGTTGTTTATGACTGCCAAGCTCCATCAGTGAGGGCTACCAGATCCTCACTTCCTGCTGGGAAAAGGCCTGAGTAGCCTGAGATCCAGAGCCATACCTGAGCCTCTGGGAAATGGATCCTGGGAGGACCTTCCTCCCTCTACTCCCTACCCAGAAGAGGGAAGCTACCCTCCTCCAAAGCATTCCCTAGCAGCCATTAAGACTTGTCAATGCCCCAAACCCAGTGTAGCCCGACTCACAAATCGTGGAAGTTGCGCAGGGAGGAAGCAGAGGTGAAGACATCCAGGAGTCCAATGACCTGGGGGAAGGATCACCAAATGAGGCTGGATGGCCATTGCCACTCTTCCCTACTCCCCAGGGCCTCAGCCACCCAGTGCCACCATCCAGGTCACCCCCTGCTGCGGAAGGCAGGCCCCAGCCTGCATGGCAGCATAAGAGGTCCCCAGCAGCGAAGGAAGCTCAAAATAAACTATAGTGGAGGGTTGAGCTGAGAAGAACAAGATGTAGACACCCATTGCTCCCAGATCTGGGGTATGGGGGAACAGCACAAACCACTCTCAACTCAAAAAACCACAAGGGTCAAAGGGGAAAAGGGCCTGGGACATTGGGTTTCCTACCACATCTGTCCTTGCCTGTCACAGGACTGGTTCAGACCTAGAGGTAAGCTCTCTGGAACTGGAGGAGGCTGAGGAGAGGCTGGCTGCAAGGGCTCCGGCCTTACAACTTGCATAAACTATGCTCTGTGGTCCTGCATGGCTATTTCTATCAGACAGGATGGTCTCATACTCAGGTTCTCAGGCCTGGGGCCCTGTCCTGAATTCAAATCCCAGCTCTGCTGCTGACTAAGCACATAACCTGGAGCCTGTGCCTCAGTTTCCCCCATCTGTGCCACATCTGGTATTTACTGCCTCTGTTATGGAGAGGATTGTACAAGTTAGTAAGTGCCTGGCACAAATTACATGCTCAGTATCTGTTGTTATCAGAGTCACATGTGGACACAACGCCAGACACTTTTTACAGAACAAATTACAAAGTTCCACTGTGCCAACTTTCTCATGACAATGGCGCTATCTGCACTTTTTCTGGGAAGTGAACAGGGCAGGTCCTGACATCTTCTGAGACTAGGGTTCAGGGAGCAGGAAGATTCCTTCTCCTGGCCCTGACAAGTCGCCCCCAACCTCCCTCCCCCAAGGCTCACTTCCTCCCTCCCTCCCCTTCCCCTGCTCCCCAACACCAACATTCCCCTGCCTCAGCTCACATTTTCATGGTGCATGTGTTTGAGCAGCAGGAGCTCACGATAGGCACGTTTGGCGAAAATCTCCGACTGGAAGGGTCGGCTTAGCTTCTTGATGGCCACTTTCTCCCCTGACCGCTTGTCAATGGCCGAGCTGCAGGGCCACAGGTAGGGGAGTTGGGGGCGCGCTCCAGCTCCCTCCTGGGCTGGTCCCAGGCTGCCCCAGCACTCCCACTTAGCCAGGAGGCCAGGATGGCAGGAGCTGCCCAAAACCTGGAATGTGGGGGCCAGCAGAGTGTGTGTGGGGTACCAAGTAAAGGGACAGGGGACCAGGGGCAGAAGCAACAGCCCCTGCCCACAGGATGCAGAGCAGGCCAGGAGCGCCACTCAGTGCAATCTGACCAGTTCCCCTCCCGGGGCCTCAATCTGCAACCGCAGGGGTGGGTCCCAGAGACTCAAGTTAAAGTTACAGATCCAGGAGCAAGTCCAGCCCCGGGGGGACCCCACTGCCACCGGGTGATCACAGGGAGCCTGAGCCCCAGGATGGCCCCGGCGCCTCTGCTTCCCAGTCTAGCCTCCTCCCGGGTCTCACCATACTGCGCCGTAGGCACCGCTGCCTACGTGCGTGGGGGCCAGGTAGGTCTTGGGCAGCTCCCAGGCCGTCTTGTTCACGTCCTGCTTGTAGAAGCCCTTTTTCCGGCTGAGGCTCATCCCGCACCCCGTCTCGGCGGCCCTGCGCGGCGGCGGCTGCGGTGGCGGCCCGCGGGCTCCCGGCCCGGGTGTCCCGCCGCCGTCCCCGCCCGCCCAGCGCGCCCGCTCCTCCCCCGTCGGGGCGGTGCACCTGCCGCCTCGCCCAGGTGCGTCCCAACCCCGGCCCCCCAGAGCCCGACTCCGCCCAGTCCCCTGGAGGCGGCCCCTGGTAGGTGCTGGGTGGTTTGCCGAGTCTGGGTGCAGTTAAGGAAGGGGCGCCTCCTTCGCGTAGCCTCGGCCTCTGTAGGAAGAGCTCCTGGGTGGGGGGCGAAGATGGTTTGGGAAAATAAAACTCTAAAAATGCAGGGCATGGTGGCTCATGCCTGTAATCTCTGCACTAGGGAGGCAGAGGCAGGAGGATTGCTGTGAGTTGGAGACCAGCCCCAATATATAGTGAGTTCAAGATCAGCCTTGGCTGGGCTACAGAGTGAGGCCCTGGGAGGGAGAGGGGAAGGAAGTGGGAAGGAGGGAAAGGAGGGAGAGACACAGGTAGAGACAAAGACAGAGAGACATGGGTGGGGGAGACACAGAGACAGAGACCGACATGGAGGAGGGGGAGGGAGGAGGAGGAGGAAAGGGAAGAAAGGGAGGGACGGCGGGAAAAAAAATTAGGCCAGGATGCACACTTCTGCGATCCAGGCACTTAAAATTCAAGGGAGGAGGCTCAAAAAATTCAATGTCATCCTTGTCTATAAAGCAAGCTGGAGGCCTGCATAGGCAGCATAGTGAGACCATCTCAAAACAAACAGTTGTTGGTGCTGGAAAGATGGCTCAGTGATTAAGAACACATCCTATTTTTCTAGAAGACCCAAGTTTGGCTCCCAGTACACACAGGTGGTTCACAACTGCCCCTACCTTTGGCCCTAGGTCATCTGATACCCTTTTCTGACATCTGCAGGCACGAACACTCCATGCACACCCATACACATACACACATACATGACTGGAAATAAAATGGCTGAGGTGGGGCATGCCTTTAGTCCCAGCAGGAGGATCTCTGTGAGTTCTAGGCCAGCCTGGTCTACATAGCAAGTTCCAGGCCAGCCAGGACTACATAGAGAGACCCTGTCTCAAACAAAACAAAAATAAAATAAAATCTAAAAATAAATGAACAGCAGTTAAGAGTGTGTACCGCTCTTGGAAAGGACGTTGTTGCATGCCCTGCACTACATCAGGGGGCTCACAACTGCCTGTAACTCCAGCTCCAGGAGCTCTCATGTTCTCTTCTGGCCTCCTCAGGCACCTACACTCATGTACTAATATATACCAACACCAACACATATGTCTGCACATAATTAAATATAAAAAATAAATCTTAAATAAGAACTCTACAACTCTTGGGTTTCTTATGAGACCCTGTGACCCCAGTTCTTTTTCTCTCCCTAAAAAAATTTCTTACCCTCCCAGTTCTTTTTTTATTAACTTTTTTACTTATTTTAATTTTATGTGTTGTTGGGATTCGAACCCTGGTCCTCTGCAAGAACAGCCAGTGCTCTTAATTGCTGAGCCATCTCTCTAACCCTGACCCCAAGTTCTTAAGCTTCAGTAATCAATGCCAGCTCAATAGTCATTCCTTTTCCCCCATTATTCTGAAGTAAAATCTAGGTGTCATATTGCTTTATCCATGAGGGCTGGTCTCCCTAAAAGATAAGTATTGAAGAAAAAAGAAAAAGAATTAACAGAAGCAAGTTCTATGATACCAGGTGTCTACAAAGATTCAGATTTCCAGGGCGGTTCATCTGTTTATTTTGCCTTTTTGCTTTTTGAGACAGAATCATATACCAGGCCGGTCTCGAACTTGAACTCCCTCCTGCCTCCACCTCTGGAGTAGATTTCCAGTTTTGAATACAGGTTTTTACCCAATTTCCAAGGCCCACGAGGACAGTGGCAAATAGACCCACACTCCACCTGTGGACTGGTGGATTGTGCGGTCCGAGGGCGATTTCTGTTCTCAACTCAGCCCCAAGCATTCCCAGAAGAACAATGTTGCGGTGCCCTGGTGCCCTGACATGTCCCACCCCTCTCTGGCCTGGGTATAAGACTGAAGGGAGCTGGGACCACTTCATTTGTGTGAGGAGACAGGGTGTGTTTGCAGGAGAGCAGGCCAGCTGGGAGACCCCACAAGGGGGTCTACAAACCCCAAACTTTGTGTAGCAGCCCTTTCCACCCAGCCTGTAGGTCATTTGGCAATGAGGGAGGAAACCCACGGAAATGCCCAGCAGACATTATGGGCAGGGCTTATTTTTAGAAACATTGTAGGATATTAACACAGATGTTAAGAATGAGAGTCGGCCCAGTGGATATAAAAAAACAATAGCTAATAAACATACATGCGTACCATGTGCTGACCATTAGTGTGTTTTAAATATCGCACTCCAGGGCAGGAGGCTGGTGAATCAGTACCATGATTATCCTCACCTGAGAGGCGATGGAGCGAAGTACAGAGGGGTTAAGTAATTAGGCAAAGGTCACACAGGCTGGAGATGGGCAGAGCTGGGTAAGAAAGCTGGCCTAGCCAGCTCTTGCCTGCAAGGCTCTGTGGTGGCTCTGGGCTGCTTTAACAATCCGCCTTGCCCACATCTTATGGCCGTGTCTCTCTACCTTTGCCCTGGCCCACCCTCTTCATTGTGGGAAGACAAAGGAAGGGGTGATATTCCTGGGATCATCCAAGAATTTGCGATCCTTGGTGTTGGTGGTGCCTGATTCTAAAGTTGGGGTGGGAGTCTGGAAACTAGCCTCTAGGGCTGGACACGGGCAAAAGAAAGCTGACCTGAGACATAGGGTTTCCTTCTGGGTCAAGGGAAGGGAAAGGGGCAGAGCTGAACCCCAGGTGGTAAGGAATCCCAGGGTAGCTCTCACTGCCCCAGGGTGCCATCCTCCCAGTCCGGCTGACCACTATGGACACCTCTTGAGCAAGGGTCAGGAAGTGACTCAGGCCTCAGACAATGACTGTCACCTTGAGCCTTGCTGGGCCTGTGTTTACTAAGCAGCCTGGCATTTTCAGAGGGAAGCATCTTCGATCCAGTCAGGGGAGTCACTGGAAGAGGAGGAGGAGGAGGGAGAGGAAGGGGTCACGGAGGACATCCTGGGTACCCAGGCTTTTCTCTCCATGCTCTGAGGCCTCTCAGTTGCTCTAACCTGGGTACTATCTCAGTGTCCTGCTTGGTTTTTCTGTCTTATCAGGGTAGAGGCAGAGGGTCAGAGACCAACTTTGAAAGGAGACCTGAATTTCCAGCTCTGGCACTGTCCTCTGTGTGACTTTGGACCAAAGTCCTTACCCTTCCTTGACTTCAGTGTCCTTGTAAAACACAGTGACAGGGTGACCAGTGCAGGTGCTCCTCAGCTTCTGAGGTTAATTCCAGACAAACACACCATCTCCCTCCTCATACCTTTTTTAAAAAGTTTTTGAATGGGGCTGGAGAGATGGCTCAGTGGTTAAGAGCACTGACTGCTCTTCCAACTAAATAAATTAATAATAAACAATAATTTTTATTTTATGTATATAAGTGTTATGCCTGCATGTAAGTGCACCCATGTTGTGCAATGCACACAAGAGGACAGAAGAGGGTGTTGGATTCCCTGGAACTGGATTTGCAGATGGTCATTAGTTGCCATGTGGGTATCGGAAGACAAACCTATGTCTTCTGTAAGAGAATTGCTGAGCCACCTTTCCAACCCCTAAATTATTTTTAAAGAAAGTTTTTAATTATATATATGGGGGGTACAGACAAGTGCAGGTGCTTGAGGAGGCCAGAAGAGAGCATTGGATCCCTAGAGCTAGAGTCACAGGAAGTTGTGAGCCACCTAACAAATGAACTCTGGTCCTCTGCAAGAGCAGCTAGTGCTCTTACCCACTGAGCCATCTATCTCTCTAGCCTCCACATGTAGCTTTTGGTGGGTTCCAGAGATGGAACTCAAGTTGTCAGGCTTGAGCAGTGCTTTTCCTCACCAAGCCATCTTGTTAGCCCCTTTTCTTCCTAATTTGGAAGACACTGTATTTTATTTTATTTTATTAGTATTTTTTTTTTTTTTTTTTGCTGGTGTTGTTTGGGGTTTTTTAAATTTTTATTTTATGTATATGAGTATTTTGCCTGCATGTATATAAGTTCACCACCTGTGTCCAATGCCACAGAGGCCAGAAGAGGGCATTGCATCCCCTGGAGTTATAGATTATTGTTAGCCACCATGTGGTGCTGGGGACTGAACCTCGGTCCTCTGCAAGAGCAGCCAGTGTTCTTAACTGCTGAGCCATCTCTCCAGCCCTGTTTTATTTTTTTGAGGCAGGGTCTCAATATGTAGCCCCAGCTGACCTAGAACTTGTTATGTAGACCAGACTGGCCTTGAACTCACAGAGATCCACCTGCCTCTGCCTCCCAAGTGCTGGGATTCAAGTCATGCACTCACACTCAGCCTTTATTAGGGCTTTTATATTAACATACAAAGTAATGGGCTTCATTTTAGCATTTCGTACATACTGTATTCTTCCCTCCCTACATTTCCCCGTCCTCTGCACCCCCATTCTAGACCCCTTCTTCACCCCCACTACACCGTTTCCTTTTTCAAGTCTATGCATTCTAGTCTCTCACTTTTACTAAAGATCACTTTTTCTGCATAGTGGTGCATGCCTGGAATCCCAGCACTCAGAGGCAAAGGCAGGCAAATCTCGGTGAGTTTGAGGGCAGCCTGGTCTAAATAGAGTTCCAGGCCAGCTAGGGCTACAGGAAGACCCTGTCTATAAACAATAACAAGAAAGACAACAACAAACAGAAAAGAAAAAGAAAAGATCTCTTCCCCTTTCTAGTATCATGACCACCATCAACACACACACACACACACACACACACAGATATTAAGAACTAGGATCCTTATATAAGAGAAATATTTGTCTTTCTGGGTCCAGCTCACTTCACTTCACATAATGATTTCCGGCTCCATCCATTTTCCTGTAAATGTCTTGACTTCATTCTTTACAGCTGCATAAAATTCCACTGTGTCTACGCACCACATTTTCTTTACCAT